ATAACTTGTAATAAGGGGATTTTCCATGTTATTTTCAAATTTTAAAAATCTCAAATTTGAAGAATAAAAGAAAGCTGAAAACTCAAAATTCTTAAATAGCAAGGTATAACGAATTTCATACCACGTGGTAGGTCCTTTTTAAACAAACTTTTTACGTATTTTAAGTTTTCTTTCTCTTACCGTTTAAAAATTGGATTAGAAAAACAGAATTTTCTATTGAACAACACGCACTGAACAGTTTTCTTTTTGGAAAGGTAATACTTCAATTTATTTAGTTTTTGATGTTTTCTACATATGTTTAATGTAGGCTACAAGGTATTCAATTAAAAATTCCTCTCTTGTCATCTACCTACACCTGTTTTTCATTGTAATATGCTTTATAAAAACTTATATTGTATCCAAGTTATCCTTTAAAAAAGATACCTTCATCATTTCAAAGAGCACGAACTATTTTAATTGATAAAGGTGGAGACAAAAAAGAGGTTAATAACTGGAGACCAATCACAATATGTTCTGTTTTAAGGAGGATATTAGAAAAAATATTGGACAAAAGACTAAAAGAATATAAACAATTTAACCAGTTTCAAGGAGGTTTTTCCAATACCCCTGGTTCCCATCTTAATACAAGTATTCTAAATGAGGTATTGAGATCAGCAAAATCAAAGAAAACCGACTGTTGTATTATGTTTCTGGATATTGAGAAAGCGTACGACAATATCGGCCATAACCACTTATCCTCAGTCTTGCAGGAGCTACCTATTCCTAGAAAACTGATTGAAATAATAATTAAACTCCAAATAGGCAATGTTACAAAAGTTGAAACTCATAGAGGGAAAACAAAGGACATCAAAATACAAAGGGGTGTAATGCAGGGATCTCCATTGTCACCCACTTTGTATAACCTATGTATTTACCATATCCTCTCTGAAATATCACAACATGCCGTAAGTGAGGAGCTAGGGTATAAGCTATGCAAGGACATGCCTTCTCTATGTATTCTAGGATTCGCTGACGATACCATTTTAATTGGTAAGAATAGAGAAAGTGCTCTTGTATTATTCGATTCGATTTGTGACTTCTTCAGAGAAATTGGATTAACTATAAATATATCAAAAACTAAAATTATTAACATTGAAAAAGGTAGATTACAAGAGGAAAACTTCCAAATATGTTCAAAAGAAATAAAATCTATAACATTTAATGAAAAAATTAAATACTTAGGAGTAAATTTTTCTGAAAGCATAGTATTTGACTCTGAAAAAACAATAGTTCATTGATAAACAAAATTGAAAAATTGACATGTTCTCCTTTTTTAAGGTCTGAACAAAAAATGTATGTATTGAATCATAATATTTGGCCATCTTTAATATATCCTTTTCAAACCGCACCAATTAAGAAAATTACAATGAAATTCTTTGACGATGTTGATAAAGTGGTAAGATCAATAACAAAGGAAATCTTAGATCTTCCAAATGATATGCCAAATTCTATGTTTTATACAAGTACTAAAAACAAAGGGATTGGGTTATGTAAATCAATTTGGGAATCTTCAATCCAACATATAAACATATGTCACGTATTAAAACAAACGGGAAACCCCTACTTACTTAATATTCGTCAATTTGATGAAGATATTAGGTTTTGCCTGGAAAAATTGAATTTAAGTATTGAATTTATCGAATCAAAACCCAAGATACTGCGAGAAACCTTACGAGACTTAGAGTATCAAAATTGGTGTAAATTTCCATACAAAGGGAATGGGGTGGTTCTTTTCAAAGAATGTAACAAGATCAATAAAAATTTGGCTAGAGGTTGTGGCCTCACAGAAGCTGAGTTCAAACAATACTTAAAAATGGTCGGAGACGTTATTCCTCTTAGAAGTCTTCATGGGAGATCCAGGGACGGGAACCAGTGCAGGCATTGTCCTGTATCTGAGAAATTTATTCTTGAAACTCTTGCCCACGTCCTTGGAAAGTGCCCATTTAGTAGTCTTCTACGAAATACCCGCCACCATACCATCAGAAAAATCATAGCTGATCAATTCAGAAAGAAAAGTTATGAGGTCTATGAAGAGGTCACGGCTATAGAAGAAGAGGGCTCTGTGAGGTGGAGTGACATCATTGTTATAGACAAGGAGAAAGATTTCGGTCTCATTATAGACCCAACAGTTCGTCTTGAGACAAATCAATATCAACCACAGGAAGTCCATGAAGAAAAAGTAAATATTTATAAGAAAACTATCCCCTATTATTCGGAGAAATACAAAATATCAAAATTTTAAGTATATGGACTACTCATTGGATCAAGAGGATCAATTCCTCAACAAGTTGAGAAATTTTGGAAGAAATTCAATTTGGAAAATCAAGTACTATATTTAATATCTTTAACAGCCATAAAATTTTCTATTAATATTATAAGAAACCACCTATATAACAATTATCATAATTAGGTTTAAACAAACTTGCAAAATTTAATGTAATATTATTCTTTGTTCTACAGCAGACTACAATGTTTAGTAAGATTTCAATTTTTAAAATAAATTTGAATTTATATTCAACTACCCTTCAAGCTTGGAATATTAATACAACTTCTTTTCTTAATCCAATACCCAATTCAAGTTTTCAACCATCTAGGTTAAAATTAATGGTAGGTAACATTAAATGCCGAAAAATTAAATAAAAAGAATGCGGCCGAACGTCGAACGCCAGCATCGGACACTGCCGTTGCTGTATATGGCTGAAAGCGTCCGTCGTCTGCCGATTTTCCCTACTTTTCTTAACGTACAAAAAATAGTCAGACTCGAACGATCCCGAGGTTTGGGTTAGAGTTTGTAATTAGTCCATTCGTTCACCACAAGTGTAAAGACTACAATGAATTCAATTTGGTAGAACGATTTGCAATAAAAATTATTAAAGTTTCCCTGGTATAATAGTTTATCTATATATAAAATATTTTGGGGGTCCCCTGGGACCGCCCTTGATACCAAGGCAAAAATGTGGTTCGGATTCCGCTATTAACTGTAGGTCCCTTAGTTTCCATTAGCTGTATGGGCTATTAATTAACAGCTGTGTCTAAATGTTGACCTTAGTCACCAACAAGACTAGAAAATCGCGCCACTCATATATAGTATTGCAGTGTTAGGGTCTAAGTTTTTAAATATTTTTGCTGTGTTTCCACTTTAAAATTTATATTTTGATTGTTTAACTACTGAGTAAATCATTGAAAATAACCTTTTCTGTCCAACAAAAACCAATAAAAAAATTTGCCAGAGACAGAAAACGTTACAAGTTTCATCAATAGCATTAAGTGGTTGTGACCAGGACTTTCCCTATCAAGATAAGTCTGTTGTACGAACACAAATCTATAATACCGCAGCCACATAAAAACTGCGGACTATGAGAACTTCCATAAAAATGTCATGTTTCATTTTCTATTTAAAAAATAAATGTGGAAAGATTTGCCTACTCAAAATATGCTAACATTAACATTTCAGAAATTTATCTTAACTTAATTTTGGCGGAGAGGTATGGAAGGAGAACCTAAGGTGTAAATGGAATTCAGCTTCAAGGCCTAGATGCTGTGTGGGTACAGGAATTTCCCTTGGTCGCTGCACATTAAAGGTAGGACAAGTAGGATGAGAATAATTTTACTAACAGTATCCAATGATAATGTTAACAGCCTTGGTTTTTAAGTAAGACCATCAAAATGCCATCATCGTAGCTGGCTTGTTCAAATAACATAACTAAAGAATTAAGGCATAACCATTTTATTCTTTGACTATTGATACAACTATTCTATCCCATGTTTAAGTTGTCGCCAGTGATTTAAAATCAAAATCATCTGATGTGAGCTACTGACAGATTGTGCTGATCTAATTTATGTTGAATAGACTTTTTTTACCAAGCCAAACTTATGACTTACTGAGAGCTATAGCAACTTACTGTTATGACCCATCAACTTTGTCAGTAACAAAACGTAGCCTACTATATAAAATAGAATTGTTGACACTAGCGCATTCTGTAACTATGTACTATTTTAATAAAAAATGGTGACAGTTGGTCCACATTGATGGGATGTCTACTTCAGTATCCAATAGTCTGTGGCGGCCCTAGAGATTGTGGGGCCCAAAGGGAAATTCAATAGTGGTCGGGCCTCTCTTAATACTTGAGATACGGCTGTGTGGATTCCCTGGAAAGCACGGGCCCCAGATTGCCATGTTCTTCAAGGCCTCTGCCAATAGTTATTTTATCTAGTGCATGACACATACAACACCTCAAGAGCAACTTTTCTGTGTCCTTAGTTTTTGTTTTCCCAACTATGTATCAGTCTATTAACATATTTAAAGTTAGGCCCACTAACTACAACCAAAGCAAAGCCTCCAGATAAATGGGAGAGTTTCAAAGGTGCAGGCATGTTTATGACCATGCCAGCGCCCAAGGTACAACTAATAATAGCGCCCTTTGCAATATATTATACAACCAGGGAGTCCACCAACCAGGAAACCCTATATGGCCGCAAGGGATTATCATAGGTTTACCTCGATCACATGCAAATCCAACCACAAAATTATTTTCGTTTACCAATATTTTGGCGCCCCCCCCCCCCCGAAAAAAGCCAACTACCTCACGCCCTAAGCATGTGCCTACCGTACCTATTTGGTAAATCAACCCTGCCAAGGTGAAAACTTGCATGATTTCATTTTAATGAGAATGACCTGGTCTAGCCGTAGTGTGTGTGGGGCTCTAAATCCAGCTAAGAGACGTAATGTGTAAAAAGGTTCAGCAGGAGTATAGCTACCTAGAATGTGGCGGAAGGACTTATAAAATAGTAACTGTAAATACCATCAAGTAGTTGTAAACTAAAAGCATAAAAATATCATAATGAATCCATTTTATTTTTCCAGTTTCCCTTAAAACATATTATTTACGCCAAATCTGATTTATCACGCCAAGATATTACTATAATTTTTTACACCTGGGACAATAATTCTAAGTACGGTATTAAATGATTTATTGAGTGTATTTTTAAAAGGCATGTTAGTCAATGGTTACAAGTCTCTGATTATTTCAGTATCGGAAATTCAATAGTTGTTACCAACTAGTTTGTTTACTCGATAGATCAGACTAATAAAGATGGACTAAAACATGTTAAAATATTACCTCTGTATTGGAAATTTAGTTTTGGTTTATGTCTATATTTTAACACCACCCATAGGAAGGATTAACAACAGTTAAATAAAATACCCACCTTTAAAATAATGCTGTTTATTTTAGAATTATCAGGTTCCAGACCGCAACAAAACACAAAAGATTCTAAAATTACATTAACCTACATAAAAAAAAACATTCTTATAGTATCTCATATATGATTAAATACAAAATTTGAAATCCGTTTATTAAACAATTTCTCTGTGCTGTTTTTGAAGAACTTGTTTCACATAAAAACATTCTTATAGTATAACATATATGAATAAATACAAAATTTGAAATCCGTTTACTGAACAATTTCTCAGAGCTGTTTATGAAGAACTTGAGTCACACACACAATACAAAATACTGTAAACAAATAGTTTCTTGCAGTAATATACACTGGTACTGCTTTCAAATTGTGTATACTAGGAAAATTAACGATAGCTCTAGTAGTAGTTAAGGATTTAAAAACGTATGGTACATAAAAGAACACTTATGAGTCCTTGTTTTCGTCTGAGGGAGATGTGTGCCAAGTGAGCCGTTCCTCGTAGAACTGTATCACAATCTGCGGACACTTTAGGTTAGCCTGTTTGGCGGGCACAAGATCAGCCTCATCTGTCCCTGAAACGAAGAAATACAAGTATTATAAACTGAAAAAAATCTGTTAACACTTGGCAATAGTCGATACTTACCCGATCTGATTCCTCAGTCATTTCAATGTAAGTCCGGCCAAATAAGAAAATAGTTTCACAATTGACAATTAGACACTCATATAGTTCGTCACCGATGATGATGATGTGATATGTCGGCAGCGGCTGATGATGAGTAAACCAAGGTCAGTTAAACAGGCTAATGATTAAAACATATCTTTTTTGTTTCGTTAAAATTGAAACACACAGCCTAAGTCAATTCTCCGAATTAAAGGGGGTAATGCAAATGACACCTAGTCATACTTTTAACGTTTTCATAATTTATGTCTACACAATTTATATAGCCTAACTTATGACACAAAATGAAGAAGGCCTATTACCAAAAATATGTGTGGCAATGTACTGTACATTCTGGTACAGTGGACCCCAAACAACAATAAGTAGGCCCAACAACAAATAAGTAGCATATTTAGGTTTTTTAAGAAAAGGCTAAGCTACACAATTAGGTTTGCTCACTAACTTATTTCATAATAATAGCCCTATACAGGGTGTTCAAAATAGATGGGGACTTCGTGTACGTAGTGATTCCTTAGGTCAAAATAAAGAGAAAATTATGAATAGAACCTTTTACAAAATCACTTTATTAACCAAATATCCACCATTTTGTATGTTTTACATAATTTTTATCTTTAGATTGTTCCAACCGATCTTTATGAAATTTAAATAGTAGCCTATGTTAAGGTAGAAGAGACCCATTTAAAAAAAAAGTTAGGCCTAATTTGATAAAATTTAAAATGACAGTCAGTTTCATTTTAAAAACTTAAATACGGTATAACTACAAAATAGCACAAATATTGAAAAAAGATTTTCAAGGCTTCTTTTATTTAGCATTTATCATTTCCCACCAAACGACAGCAAGTTCAAAAAGATTGAATTAAACATAACTGTAATATCAGGATTTTTATTTCTACAATAAAAGAGAGACAAACCTGATTCTAGCTTGGCCTTATTTTACCCCATTTTACAACTAAACATTGTGAATATTTCAGTTATTTCTTAATCAATCTTTTTGAGCTTGGTGACGTTTGATAGGAAATTTTAACAGCTAAATATAAGTTATCCTGACATTTTTTCATAAAATCAGCCATTTTTGAAATTTTTAATTGGATCAAGGTAACTCTTTTTTAAGATAGGTCTCTTCTAACTTAACATACATACCAAGTTTAATCAAGTAAGGTAGGAACTATAAGATACAAATTTGTATATTTAATAGGCCAACATGAATTTTGTGATAATAGTTTTGAATCTGCTTCGCATCCGTTCACTAAGTCTAAGGTGTTGTTGAATAGGTCGTGGCATATAGAAAAACAAACAAACCTTTTAAAAAAATCCCAGGGACAGTCTAGACTCTAGAGTTTCTAGGTTTGTTAAAGAATGTTAATAGAACCCAGTCATTGGTCATGAAATACACTTGTGGTGCACACCCAGCACACGTCGATACACACGTGGTGCAAGGGTGGTATCGTTTTCAAATAATCCAAAATTAATATTTAACTATAGCCTATAGAAAATCACATTAAATCTGAAAAAATCAGATTTAAGGCCTATTAAGTTTGCAATAATTTACGTGGTCTTTGCTGTTTCTTGTGTGTGAAAGTCGGTAAAGGATTTTTTTCAATGATTATTTATTTTTTTATCGATGATAACTTAAATAAATAATCATTGAAAAAAATCCTTTACCGCTTTTCACACACAAGAAACAGCAAAGACCACGTAAATTATTGCAAACTCAATAGGCTAGGCCTTCTGCCGTCTCTCATCTTTACTAACAAAATCAAGTTACCCGAAAAAGGAAAAAAAAAATCCATAAGCCCTTCTTTTCCTAAAAGAGAATGTCAAATTCTAGTTCTTTAGTTTTTATATAAAAATTCAATATGGTGGTAGCCTATCTAATTAACAATACGATTTTTGTTAAAGTTTTTATTCTTGATTTTCTCTTTAATAGACCCAAGGAATCACTACGTAAATTATGTACACCTAATCTTTTTTGAACCTCCTGTATATTTTGCTAGCTAATCTTAAATGTTTAAAGAATGTACTACCTTTCCATTTCATCAAAAACATGAGCTCTCCACTCGAATCAGTTGCTCCTATGATCTTCTCTGGGTCTAGCTTCTTATCAAATCCCTTTGGCGCTTCAGACTCAGTGTCCACCTTTTTTTGTTTTGAGGGTTTGGGCGCGTCTTCACCCTTATCATCTTTCCTTTCCCTTTTGTTTTCCTTGTTTGATGGAGTGGAGGACGTGGATGGTCTAGCTTTCTTCTTTGCTGGACCGGAAACCGAAGGCTTCTCTTCCTTCTTCTTCTTTAAGTTGTCCTCGAATTCTTTAATAAGGTCTGGGCAATCCAGGTTCTCATGTGGTTCCCATGTGTTTTCACTGTCTGGGTAACCTTTCCATTTCAGGAAATACTCAACCTTCCCCTTAACAATCCTCTTGTCCAATACCTTTTCTACCGAGTACTCCTCTTCTTCCTCTGCTCCAGAGGAGTTGTGGTCGGGAGATGCAGAGGCCTTTGATTTCGGCATCTGAAAACAAAGTTCATAATTAGCACCATAAAGAATGTTAATTAAATTTCAGTTACAATATGCAATGGACATCTTTAGAAGAAATATCACCCATCCTTCCCAGATTGACAGTCAAAATATCCTCAGTCTGGCAAATATTTGTAAAATGAAATAGTATATTACGTTATTAGCCATGAAAATAGGGGTTTGTTGGTCGAGTGACTTACGATATTTTACACTATACTACTCTAAGCCAACTTAACAATAAAAAATCCTTATAGATAGATACCCACCAACTAAAGAACTAAAATCACTACTCATAACCTCTAGAAGAGAGGTTATGTTTTTGTTATTACCACTCATTGTCAAATATTATCAGCTGGTTGGTGTCCGGTAAAAATTCATTACAGTACAGTAGTACACAATGAAACCCCATTTGACACCAGTTTTCTGGACTAAATCCTTGCTTGGGATGTTTGTTAAAACATAGTAGTGTGGCGTAAAGAAGTTTATTTTAATTTATGGATCCTTTTAGCGAATTTCCCTATAGGGAAGTAGCTATTACCGTAGGTGGCACGGTAAGACCTAGACCCGGGACCGATTTACTTTTTCATTTTGATGTCCCCAGAGGCCAAAAACACCATTCGTTCAAATTTTTATATATGTATATATATATATATATATAGACATATATATATATATACGTCCGTGAACGCGATAACTTGAGTAATTTTTGTCCGATTTTGATGAAATTTGGTTTAAAGGTGTAAAGCGGAATAAACTTGAATGAGTTCGCGAACCAGCACGATCGGACCATGGGAACGGGGCTTTACGGGGGATTTTATGGGGTAAAAATTGGTTTTTCTCACTTTTGACCCTCAAAACACAAAATTTCCCGATTTCTCTTTAGACCTTATTAAAGAGCTTAAAAAACAAATAATTTAGTATATAAAAGTATTTTTGTTCGATTATTAGTAACGGAGAAAATTTAAAAAATTGTAAATTTAAAATTCCCATGTTATTCTTATGGAAAATATTGTCAAATGTTGTAGTTTGCTTGTTTGTGGATATATTTTGATCAAACTTGGCAAATTTATTTATTTTGTACTAAGCTATCAATATTTTACTCAAAAACACACTTTATTAGTTTCCTTGTAGCAGCAAACCTAGGTACTCGTTAAACCTAATGTTATTAAAATATATTTAACTGAAAATCAATTCAGACAAATGGAAATTCGCTTAGTCGTCAGGTTTGCTGCGGCGGGGGTATTTTATACTACTGTAGGCATTATTAGTAAACATAACCATCGAAACTTCTTGATGCATAACGACTTTTTAAATATAAAAAAAATGCCAAGGACATTTGATTCGTCCTAATACTGTGTAGCAGTTTGGACAAAAACAAGAGGTAAGGAGAGGCTTTATGAGAGGATTTAAGTTAGGAGATGAAAAGAAGAAGTTTGCTCTTCAAGTCAGTAAATGCAATGGGAGTTTAGAATGCAGCAAAGAGAATTAAATTTAATGTTTGATCATCGCAAACTTATCTTATTAAACTAATCGCATGTGAGGAAGGTAGGTCTTTAAAATGTGATTCGTGACTTTTTCATGGTGGTTTTTTTACATGTCGCATGTAGGCTAGCCTAATTTGTTGGTCTTGTTTGATTTAATTGCATGTAAACCACCGTTTCTTCCCTACTCCCCTTCAGGTCTTAGTCACACACTAGAACTCGGGCTCTAAAGAAACCACCATCTAAAGAGCCCAATAAAACTTAAATTTGTAATCTTTGATTTGTTTCGGGAACTTAACGCTATATCCAACAAAAAATCATTAAATATTTGGATTCTGCATGAAAAAATTTTACGAATAAAAATTAAAATTCTAAGTGATCATTATTGGTGAAACGATAAGTAGCCTATGCTAAATATTCAACTTTTACCAGTTATGTTAACTTAGTCTACTGATTGAATTAATGTAGGCCTATTAGGTAGGCCTAGGCCTACTTTTTTTGGGTTCATGAAATAGAATATTAACATTTTGTTACACATTTCATTTATTTTATTTTATACCAATGGCAGATAATCAACAAACAGTTATCCAGCTTATAACAAATAATTAACAATGTAACAATCAATAAATACCCCCGCCGCAGCAAACCTGCAGACTAAGCGAATTCCAACTTGCCTGATTACATTTTTACCAAAACAAGTCAACCCTAAGTATGTCTTTACATTTTTATCCAAATGCTGAATTTGTGACACAAAAGCTGAATGTTTACAGCTGTTATGTTAAGCAAATTATTTTATGCCAAAAGTTAGGCCTAGTTTAGAATCTTAGCGTCGGCTGCTAGACTTAAAAAAAATTAAAACTCAATTACTACAAAACTGGGACCCTAAACTAAAATTATGGCTTCGACATTCCCTAGTTCTCAAAATTATCTTTCTTTCAACACAAAAATCATGAAAATCCGTTGAGTGGTTGATTCAGAATCGTGAAATAAAAAAACACTGTTTCGTTTTAATATTATAGATATTTCCATAAATAAGACATATTTATTCCCTATTTAAATAACATTAATTTAACGAGTGCTTAGGTTTGATGCTACAGGGAAGGTAAAAAGGGGTTTTTGACCATACGTCAATAGTATAGGATGAAATAAATAAATTTGCCAAATGTTATCAATTTTTACCATTTTTACACCATAAAACCCCCCATTAAAACCCCCCTGTTCCCATGGTCCGATTATGCTGGATCGCGAACTCGTTCAAATAAACGTAGATTTACACGTTTGTACCAAATTTAATCAAAATCGGAATAATTTTTGTTCGAGTTATCGCGCTAACGGACACACATGAATATAAATATATATGAATTTGAACGGATAGTGTTTTTGGTCTCTCTAGGGACCTCAAAATGAAAAATTAAATCGGTCCCGGGTCCAGGTCTTACCATGAGTACTACGGTAATAGCTTATTCCCTATATGAGAAATTCACTAAAAACAAAAGAAAAATAACAATTAACTTAAATAGTAAAAATTGGTAAATATAATGAAACCCAACAAATAACAAATAGCATGAGACTAAAAAAAAAAAAAAAAATGGTGAGTAAATACATTGACAAAAGTTCCATTAAATGCTAGGCCTACTGATAATTTATTGCTCGCCAAGGACAGTGAGGAACTTCCTTCGAGCTAGTTTGAGAAGAAGAAGTCCACAAAACTTGATACCATGTTTCACAGGCAAAGAATCCTAGCTAGTGGATTGTTGGCGTCATAGGATGTTGATCTGAAACGCCGGCCAAAAAATGCTCTGGATCGAGTTCTGCCCGGATCCCTGATGTCAATCTCCGGACAGATTTCTGGACAACTGAGAAAGCCATTCATAATCTTGTATAGGAGACACAGGTCGGCAACATCTCTCCAAAGTTCTAAAGGAGGCAATCTCAGCATCTGTGCACAGTCGTAACCAGTGTTGGGAAGTAGCGCGCTACAAGTAGCGACGCTACAGTAGCGCGCTACTTTTTTTGTAGCGTTAGCTGTAGCTACGCTACTTTTAAGATTTTGTAGCTTTAGTTGTAGCTAGCTACATTTTTAAAGTAGTTGTAGCGGAATTTTAGCTACTTTTCTAGCTACATTAACATTGTTTGAGATACCTAGTGATTTTTATCATAACCTCAACCTTACGTGAAACAACCTCTTTCAAACTGAGGTTTTCAAAAAAATTAGGCCTACTTTCTTGGCTTCATACAGCAGGTTGCAGCCGTTTCATTCCCTATTACAACGTTGTGTGGACATGGAGGCCATTAATTGAGTGTTATCCACATTTTTGGCTCTCATTTCCTTAATTTACTACTCTATGATTACTGTCAGACAAAATAAAATCGCTAGAAACAGACGACGTTTAAACGTTACCGGTGACAAGAGAAGCTATTGAATGCTTGCAAGTGATTGACAGGGAAATTAGTAATCAATTTAGTTTCTTTATCATATCGATAGTGTTACAACTTGAGTTTTAATGGAAACCAACACTAAACCTTAAAATAATGAGAAAGCTGGTCTATCAACCTTTGCTTCAGCTGTTGATTGTGGTTCATCATCACAAGCCCTTCCTTGGTTAGATTACGAGGATTTTTCAAAGGTTTACTAAATTAACAAAGAGGAAATTACCTGATGAGATTTAAGATATGCCTACACACATCATAATTGTAACGAAACAATCTTCTTATAACATGCAACTTACATTGAAAAAATAGCATAGTTTGCTCCTGTAATAGCTCTTGTATAGGATTATTCCTAGGCTATGCTAAGGTTTACGACTCTCTGAATACCAAGTTCCAAGTTCGATTAATTATTAGGAATATATCTGTTTAGTCCTAGCAAGAACAAGCCTACTACAACCAACTTGTTACATAGCCAAGTAGGCCTACATGTTATTTTTACTTTAAAAATTTCAACATGTTTAAATTAAAAGCCGATTTCAGGATAAGTTGCTGAATACTGTTTTTTGTACCAACTAGGTTGAAGCACAATTTGCCCTATGCGTTATGACAAAAGAGGACGATTTCTTGACATTGAAAAGTGTTATTCATAGAACAAGTAACTTATCACTTATGGTTAAAAGTTATAGCAATGTCGTTTTTAACATTAAAAGTAAAGAAAGGCAATAAACTCCAATTTCAGTAGGCTAGGCTCTGTAAAAAAGGCATTTTTAAATCATTGTTTTACAGTTTTATTGGTCTTAATTGTTGATATAAGACATGTATAAATGAATCTATATTAAAGAAATAAAATGGGCTTTTAAAATATAGTTTGGTTGTATGTCCTTTGAACTTAATGAAATTTACATATAAGATGCTTAAAAATAATGCAATATTTAAAATTAAGTTCTAAATATGATTGGACACCCACTTATTTGGTTCTGTTGTTGTAATGTTAGGTTTATAATGCCAACAAATTAAATACAATCTGGGAATAATTTGTTTTCCGAGTAATGTTAGATACAATATTGACATTTTTTTAATGTT